CGGCTTCCCTGAGCCCCAGCTGCTCCCGGCGCCCCTCGGCCCCTCTGTGGCCCCACTGTGCTTTCCTCCGCTCGCCGTCTCCCTCTGGGTCTCGCTCCCAGGGCTGGAGTGTCTGTCCCCCGGCAGGGCAAGGAGGGCCTGGCTCGGGGACACCGCCTGGTGTCTCAGGGTCTGCAGGCGCGGAGGAGGCCAGGGCCTAGGGGACCCTCCCCGAGGTCGCGTGCCTCAGTTTCCCCAGGGCCCAGTGGGGACCAGCAGAGACCCACAGCGGGTCTGAGTGGGGAGGACTCGCCGGACCGAGGTGGGGCCCGCGCCCTGCCCAAGGCGCTGGGCACCCGGGTGGGGGGCGGGCGTCGAGCTCTGGGGGAGCTGGCTCGGCCCCGAGTCTGCACACGGAGTCCGCTTCTGCCCCCTGCACTTCGCCACGGTGACTCCCGGAGCCTGCAGCCCCGTGGCCGAGCCTCAGGACGGGACGTGCGGGCAGGGACACCCCGCCTTCTCTCAGGAGTGCGGTCGAGTCGAGGCGCGGCCGGGAGGCTGGAGAGGCCCCAGGGTTTGCTGCTCCTCCAGCCTGAGCCGCAGGAAGCCGAGCTCCGCCCCAGGAGGCCAGGACCCCGCCCAGGGCGGCCCAGAGAGACCAGGCCTGAGGACGCAGGTGCTGCCAGGAGGACAAGAGGCCTCTGGGATTCAATGGAGAGGCTGAGGCAGGAGGACGCCCAAGGTTCCAGGCCAGCCTGAAGCACACAGCGGGACCCTGCCTCAGAAAGCCAGACAGGGTACACGCGGCCTTGGCGAGGGGCACGCAACGTCGGAAGACAGGGCAGGGCGGGCTGGGGCAAGGAAGCCGCGGAGGGCAGGCGAGGGGGTGGGCCTGAGACCTGGGGACCATTGCGCATGTGCGGGATCACAGGACACAGCCGTGGGGCGTGAACCCCGGGAGCCGCCCTCTCCCGTCCCGGAGCCCAGGAAGCTGAGACCCAGGCGTCCCGGGCTGAGCTCCCTCCCCAGGCTCCGGGGAGACCCCCCCCCCCCGCCTCTGCCTCCTCCTCCGGGCTCCAGGTGGCCCCGGGCTGCGGCTCCATCGCTCCCGTCTCCGCCTCCGTCTCCGTCTCCGTCGGCTCCTCCTCTGCCTGCGTCTCCTCTGCCTCTCGTGAGGACGCTGCCGTTGGAGTCAGGGCCCCGACCCAGACGGCCTAGTCCTCAGATCCTGCTCCTCCCATTCATTCCCTCTGCGGGGACCCGTTTCCGCTCAGGCCCCAGCGTGACATTCCGGGTGCCACGAATCTGGGGCCCCACGTGTAACTCGCTGCACAGCCACGCGATGCATGCGCGTCCGAATCCCGGGACTGCATCGTGGTGGCCTCGTGTGGCAGAAACATCTCTGCAGATGACATGAAGCGAAGGCCTTGAGGGGATCCCACCCTCGTGCTGTGGGGGGCCCTAAGTACAAGGAGACGTCCTTACCTGACAGGTGAGAGCCAGAGTCACACTGCCCGCCGGTCATCCCAGCACTGGACAGGCTGAGGCAGGAGGATCTCCGGAGTTCCAGGCCAGCCTGTGCTCCTTGGTGAGTTCAAGACCAGCCTGGACTCTGTCATGAGACCCAGTCTCAAAAAACAAAAATATTCTTTACCTGATTAGCAGAAACATTTTGAAAATACTGATGGCAAACAGTCCCTCCTGTGTTGGTTCCGAGGCTTATCTCTGTGGACAGAAACTGAATTTTGTGGCCGTTTTGAAACCTGGTGTCAGATTCGAGACCCGGTGAGCTGGGTCCCTGAGGCCCGAGAACCACCTGGGCTGTCCCCAGCCTGCACCCAGCGCCCTGGGGTGGAATATAAACAACACACAATGCAACACCATGCGTGAGTCATCTCTGAAGAGCACACGCCACAGGGAAAGAAAGACTTTGCTCTCAGACCTTGTATCAAAGTCCTTGCATTTGGTTGTATTTATTTATCTGGGTCTCACTGTTCAGTCCGGGCTGGCCTTGAATTCCAGGTGATCCTCCCGCCTCAGCCTCCCGAGTGCTGGAAACACAGGGGTGTGGTGTGTGGCACCCTGCCCGGCTTGCTGTTTTAATTTTAAACAAGCAGGACTCACCATTCAGGTGACATCCAGGCATACAACCCCTGGAGCCCCTCGGAGCCAGGCACACTGCGGCAGTGAGGCGCGCAGAGGCAGGGGGCTCTGGGCTGGGCCAAGGTCCTGGCTGCTGCCCGGACCTGAGCCCGACGCCCCGGGAGCTGCTGTGTCCCCACACGCGCAGCAGGTGGCGACAGAGACCAGAGATGCTCCGGGTCCCCAGGTAGGAGCCGAGCAGGCAGTCTGGGGAGCCCAGGTCAGTGCTGGCCGGGGCTGGCTCCCCTTCTCTGTTTCCTTTTTCTGAAGTGTTCAAAATTTAAAGTGGAATTCAGATACCATTCAGCTGCCCAGTGCACGGAAGACAATTCAGCAGCAAACATCACCTCCAAGATGCCCAGAAATCCTCATCCTCAGAGGGGTCCCTGGCCCTGGCCTCTGTCTGTCCCCCTGCCTGGCCCTGAGAACCTTCATTCTGTCTCTGGATTCCCCTCCCCAACTTCCTGTCTGTCTCTGGATTCCCCTGCCCCACTTCCTGTCTCTGGAATCCCCTGCCCCACTTCCTGTCTCTGGATTCCCCACCCCCACTTCCTGTCTCTGGATTCCCCTGCCCCACTTCCTGTGTCTGGATTCCCCTGCCAAATGCAAGGTCCTGAGTTCGATCTCCGGTACTCAAAAAAAAAACAAACAGTTGAAGTTCCTTCAATTGCCTTGTAATTAAAGTTTAGTGAAAATGTTCTTTTTGAAATGATAAATTAAAAACAGAAATAGTGTGGGGCTGGCCTTGGACACCCTGCACATCCTTCCTAATTCAGTCTGATGTCAGCATTCCACCACAACTGTTTCCAATCTTTTTATTTCTGTTTCAAAATCTGAAAACAAAAATGGACACAAAATAAAACAAGAACTAAGCTACTGGAAAGCCACCCCCCAGCCCTTCTCCTCCTCCTGTGATGGTAACTGCTCTGGATTTGATG